ACAATATTCTATATTAGCGAATTAAGGCGGTGTGTGAGGAATTTTCATATCCACACCGTTTCTGTGTGATCAAGCTTGTAATTCTACAGGATATTTGTTTAAGGCAAACCAAGACAAACGGGTCCCACACAGCACCAGGCAACAGCAGGACACACTGTACACACAACCCAGGAGATGCAAACAGAAGTGGGTAATTATGATGTCACTGGTGTTTGTAGTGGAACTGTTTACAGAAGGATTACTGTACCTTCTGTGAGGTGTCCTCTCTCTAAGAGGCAGCATTAAAGGCAGGTGAGGAAAGTGTAAGGTTAGTAAAAAAAACGACCTTTTCCACTCACTACTAAAATGGACTGAGCACCACAAGCAGTAAACACACAAAGAAACACACGTGTAGATTGCAGCACTACACACCAGTACAAGGCCTTGCTATAGTAGGGGGTTATTTCTGTATCACAGCGTCAGGACAACAACATTTTAAACCCCCTGTGGCTAGATGGAAATGGAAGCTGTTAAAGTGCAGGGAGAACTCGTATCACACAGTCTGTTTTTAATGGTACCACACACATGAGAAGACCTTTAAACCAGTCTGAGGTCAGTATTATAGGAGGAAGGCAACTGACAACTAAACATGAACAGTTTTATTAATTCACTAAAACATAAACACTAAAAAGCTAAGACATATTTTCTTTAAGGGAGGATCGTTTCTTTTAAACTAACTCAGATTTTCTTTTAGCAAACTCAGGTTTCCTTAGACTAACACTTTTCTATTGGCTAACACATGTTTCTTTTAAGCTAACGCAGGTTTTCTTTTAGCTAGCACAGGTTGTCTTGAAGCTAACGTCGTTTTCCATGGCTAGCGCAGGTTTTCTTTTTAGCTAAAACAGGTTTTTCTTTTTACTAAACGTATAGTAGTTCCAAAAATACTGTAGAAAATTCCACATGACATTAAGGCATTTGGCTTTACAATCAAATACAGAGTGTGTCTGTTTGTTACAAGAGTGTCTATCAAGGGTCTGAAAGATGTATAGAAAATCTGTATTACAGTTTGTCAATATAGAAACAAAAAGGCACAGTGCTTAAGCTAATTCTAATATTATCAACATCAATGGATGGCGCAGGGATATGTTGATGTAGAAAACATGTAGTAGTACAAACAGGTTAAGAAGGTCTTATGGTCAAATATAAATAAAACCGCAAAAAAATTAAATGTTGGTTTTCAGAGATCGTCCCTGTCATTTGTAGGATACCGTGATACATTGCCATAGCATCGCCAAATGTCAGGAATGTGAAGAATGCTGAAAGAAGTTAATGATCCCAGTCATGGTTCACTGCATAACATCGGTTAGATACAAAGTAAGCTCTGATCCACAGCGCTCTCCTAAATGGGGGGGGGAATCAATGGGAATGATATGGTCAGGTTTCACAGGGAACATTTGAGAGCACTGTGTACAGGCCACCGTGGCACACACTGCTAAATGAGTATCTTGTGATTTTAAGTTGATTTATTCTTCTTCTCCAAACTTGCCAACTGTATTGCTTCCAAACTTACCCATATAATCGCCTGTGTACATTTTTCGTAGTAGACATGAATAATATGCCAGGACTTTAGGAACTGAGACAGCCTTATCAGGAAATGTTAACCAGACTCCAAAAATAAAGTCTTACATTTAAAAGGGTTTTCCATTTTGTATTGGTGTAGTTTAATTATGATGTGTTCTGTGCTTTTTGTTTATTTAGACCCAACTTAAAGCTCGATCCACACTAAATCCTTTTTAAATTCTTGGCTGACCAAAAAGTAGCAGATGAAGTCTACCTGAATTTGCCAATAAAAACCCTACAATGTGTAGAACTGAAGCATTGAATCCCTGTAGTCTGCTCAAGCCCCCAAATGCCCAGATCAAACCTAGAACACTTGGCCTCGGTGTCTTCAGTGGCAGCTATAGCTCTACCTACAGGTCCCCACAGGGGTCAGGGATGTGGAGAAGTAAATGTTCAACTAGGGAAGCAAAACATTTTCTAACTCTACGGGCTCTAATCTACATCCCTCTTCACCTGTGCTGTCCAGTTGCATACCCCAAGAGGAGGACATGACCCAGGTGTCAGAGTGGGACGCTGATGTCTGACCCCACTGATCCTCCCCTGACGGTGAGGTATTACCCCATTCTGTCGGGTTTTCACCATTTTGGGCCAATGGAGCCAGGTCGTCATCATACGACTTTCTTTTAACCGATTCCTCGCCAGAGGGGTTAAACATGCCCTGATTCAAACCTGAGCAAAGTCACAGTTAGACACAGTATCTTAGATTCAACCTAAAGTGCTTTATTCATCTTATTTTGCAACTGAAAAGTGCTCTTTTAGCAATGTTTTAGCTTAACTGGCAAAAAAAAAACAGGAAGTGTCATTGAAAGGGAAGTCTCAGCTTCTGGTTAAAGTAACACATTCATTATTTGTTAGTGGAAATAATTACCTTTAATGCCCACAGATACAAACATGTTTTTGTACATTCAGATACCCCTCTATTCTGTTTTTAATCTGTCTCCTTGGGCTCTAGAAAATGATTGGGCTTTCTTTACGACATTATTAACATCCAGGGTATTTAATAATAGCCCTGCTTCACACTAGTTCCAATTGAAACCATTTAGTCACTCAAGAAGGGTCAATCCATCTTCATTTATTAACAACCTCTGGCTAGCATACATAACTTTTCCTCTGATTTATGAAAATATGTTTTAATATTGTAATACTTAAGGACCACTCTCACTCACTCTCCAGACTAGTATCAGTCAAATCCACACTAAATCACCTGAGGAAGAAACTTGCTCTTAATAAGAGGTTAACACTTTGGTTTTGCAACACAGCCAGTCAGTGATGTCACAGGTAACACACACATGGTTTGGCATCACCTCCTGTGTTGTGCTCTGTGTGCAGCAGCAATAGAGTGGTGCAGGAATGAGTCCTAACCCACGAAAATGAGATAGCATTTGAATACTTCCAGCTTCCCTCGTCTCAAAGTCAATGTTTTTTGAATGAGTTATGGTTAGATGAAACAAGGTCTGTGGTTAAAACAAGAGTGTTTTGTTCTACAACATAACATATGTCACTAAACACCCCACTTGTGAATGTCTAAAGCTTCTATGTGTTATTAAAACCACGACAAGTGACTAAATAAACCACTAAACGTCATCACGCTGACACAAAGCCGTCTTAGGGGTGACCGTGATGTGAAGTCATGTGACCGTGATGTAGTTCCTTTGTAGCTAACGTTAGCTTTTCACTTCTAGATATTGCATTTACGCATCTACTCTTATAAAATAGCCATCATTATCTTAATCAACTTTGCCACAGATCCTTTTTACATTTCAAACTCCAATGGAAAAATCCCATTGGCTTGAGACGAGGGAAACCTTGCGATGCTATAACCTTCGGGTCGACTCACACCCACCCTGTGATTCAGTGTGGATTTACGTTCAGTTTTTGATTTTGGAGAGTTGAGTCTTACCCTGCTCTTCCTCCTGTGTGGCCGAGTTAACCCATTCCTCTCCAGGACCCATGCTGCCCCAGTCCACCACTGCTCCATTCAGAACATCAGAGTACAACTCTGCCGCGGAGCAAGGCAGCAGGGCGAGAGGAGACAAGACAACGGGTTAAACACACACGCACAGACACACACACATCGACAGGGGTTTGGTGCTTCTCCAGTGTCCATCCCAGCCCTGCCAGTAACTTGATAACAGAGAGGTCTGTTTCGTTACTGGCAGCTTATCTGACTCAGGAACAGGAAGTCTTACGTTTGACCCTTAGTGGCACGGATCTTGAAGCTGTTAGAACAAGATTGAACAGATTCCTGCTATTTAAAAAAAAACAGGCCAGGGAGAAATCTGTACCACAGATGACAATGAGATCATTTGTAACAATTAAGCAGGAATATCCGCTTGTTCTCTGGTTGATGATGAAATCTCATTACACCATACTCCAGCACTACAGGAGGAAGAAGACCAGCATTACTGCATTTGCACTAACAATGATTTCCTTCTTTTTCACTTCCGCATTCAGGCTGCTAAAACACGCTTTCAAGGGTAGAAAAGGTCACAGATTTCAGAGTAACACATGAACATGAATGGTGGAAGGAATATGATCTTTTAAACTAATCTCAGTAGGCCACATGTAGTCTAACACTACTGATAATTAAGCATTATTTTAGCAGGTCAAAGCAGGTGATAACCATTTGTTAGCTCATATAGCACAGTCTGGCTTAACTGATTAAAAACATTGGATATACATTGATACACTCCCCTTCTTTACTCTCTTATGGCGCGTTTCCACTGCAGGCCTCGCTCGGCCTCGCTCGGTTTGGTTAGGCCTTATTAGGCCCGGCTTAGTTACTCTCCCCCCTCTGCTTTGTCTGGGGCTGAATACCCCTGGTCACAAGACTCTCATTTGGCCCCCTGGTCATGTGGCTATGCTAAACAGAGGCCTGGGATGGTCATATGGCTGCAAATTAATTAATGTTAAACTGGAGGCCAAGTTGCATTATGGCCAAACAGCAACAATACTGCATATAAACCTATGTTTCCGTCCATATTCAAGACCTCTACTTTAATGTACTGGATTAAAAACATATGGGTGCTTTTAGAGTCCATAATTCCCTTATAGATGGAAGTTATGTTATTAAAGTTTCATGGGAAATGTGAAAGTGTTTTGCCTTGCTCCAGCCTCCAACTCCGGACACAATGCCCCCAGGTAGCCACACAACAAGTATACCTGCTATGCAAAGGAGTGCAATAAACTACCTGCAAAAGCAAACACCTTTATCCCACTTCACGGATGTGGGAGTCATTGCCCTACTTGAATACTCCTATTCCTAAGTAAAACAGCAACATGCCTGAAAAACAGTGAAGCTACCACTTGTGTCAAACGTTTGCATATGAGCTTGAGTTTGGATGTAAATAAGGAGTATGGAAATCATTCCTGTGCAGATATCAGAAGAATTCGCAACACCTGACACGTTCAGCAGTAGAGCTAGCACAAGTACCACACTCTATATGTATGCCACTATGATAAACTCCAACATCATAAAAGGGTTACATTTCCTTCAAAGATGATATAAACACCCTTCACATAGTTGTGCATGGTTCACAGCGAGCAAAGATGCAGGTGTGTAGTCCAGGACACTTCATTGATTTAGGGATACATATTAAATTGGTAAATTGGATTTACTACATATACCAGAAACTCCTGAAAACTTGTGCATTAGAGAACCAGTAAGCATCTGAGACAGGAAACATTATCCAGACTTACTTTGGTCTAGAGTTTCCATGAAGTCTTGAATAAACAGTACCACAAACCTACAGCACACTGGCCAACTGTACTTTTGATATTTGCTTCCTTATCCAGCCCTACAGAAAGAGCTGACCCTGAAAGCAGCATATGAATGGCACGTTTGTTAATCAACATTGAAACTGAACTAGACATGCTACATGCCAATTTATACGTCATGAAATGTTTATTTAAAAGAGCATGTACATAAACAATCGCTCCAAAAGTGTCGCAACATTTTTTTAGACTTGTCCCTTATTTTATTTTTTCATAATTCCGCTCCTTTAAACCTCCAAAGAGTAGCGTGTGCAGCCTCACTATCACACAAACAGCAAACAACCAAGAGACGCAGCGACTGTTTTTAAAGTTTCGCCTTGGAATAAAGAGCTGAGTGCAACATGGAGCGACAAACACTCACCTTGTTGTCTGGTCTCCATCAGACAGCCAGGTGCACTCCGCAGAATATCCTCCCGAGACAAAAAGACAGAGCAACAACAGCAGCACGCGCAGCAGCGGCCGTCAGGTCAGTGTGTTTACTGGGGCTTCCTTGGCTGTCACGCGCTGGGCGGCAGATCGAAGAGCTCGAGCCAATGGCCTCGCGCTTCTGTTATTCACTTAACAGCCATGTTTCCTGTTGGGGAAATGAGCCCATTGGACACCAAAACATACTGTATAATCAATTTAGAAAAATTAATGGATAAATAATGATGGGTTTGTCAGGGATGGAGGAAATGTTCACATTATATAATTAAAATAAAAAAGACTACAGTAAATACATAAATAAAATACACTATTTAAAGCAAATATGATGCATATAAAAGCTTACTAAAATTAAAGTTAATACTCTTCAAAAGTGAGTAATTTAAATGCAGCAGAGTAAATGTACTGTGTAATGTAAGTACAAAGTATAAAGTATAACAAATATAGAAATAAGTAAGCATCTCAAAGTTGTACAAGTATTGTAGTACAAGAACAGTACTTGGATGAATACTGTATATTTTCCACCACCAGTATTTGTATAGAATGTTTTTTTTATACCTCTTACAACATGTTTTCTTTGTTTTGCGTATGCAGCTCTGACAATTAATTATTGTTTTTAAATAATAATTAATAATATCACAGAAATTCACTATCAAAGGATACTAAATTAATTTGCACTAACATTTTCGTTATTTATGAATTAATGCCAATTTTTCAATAAATATGTGTTATACTAGTAATACGTTCAAGTACGTTTATTTATAATGTTCTATTATTTCGTACTATGACAATGCATGTTTCTTTGTATCTGCATTGCATATTCAAAAAATACAAATCAAGACAACACGGTTGTGCAACCTGCAGTGCACTTATGACCCCTGCTGACAGGAAACTGTAGTCACAACAGGAGGGGATGATGTCACTGATTCCCAAACAGACAGTCAATAAAGGAGACTGGCTGTGACTCACAACATGTTATATGTGAAAAACAAATGTGTCCATATCAAACAAAACAGTCAAACCAGACCATTTTGGTATTTGACCCAGTTTAATTTATTCTTCATCAGATCCTTTGAAGAAAACCATTTTTGTGCCTGGTTAAGTGTGTAATAATATCAGCAGAAGTCTTTAACGGTGGAAGAAAGTGCAAACAAGTAGCACAGTTATCAAGTTTAAGATGTTTCTTTCAATAGAAATACACTCAAAACAAAGCAGTGTGTAGACAAACAACGTGGGCAAGTATTTTTTGTGAAAATGCATCCTAATGTTACTGATGCCACACCATTTAAAGCAAAACAAATATTCACAGGCCTCCTGAGTTAAAATCAAACTATGTTATACTGTCACTAAAATGACAGCGTTTTCATATAACCACTTCCTTTACTGAGCATTTTGCTGCCTCATGACAGCCATCAAAGGTCTTTTTAACCTTCAGAGGACGAACAGGGAGGTTCATATGAGCCCAAATAAAGTGACAGTTGACCTTGTGCAAAACTATAATAGTGTTTGGGATACAGCTGACAACCTGTATTATGGTTACCTGTAACATTTTAGGTTTGTTTTTATCTTAAGCTATTTAAAATACATTCATTTATCTGATTGCACTGCACATTTTCCTGTACCTTAGGGTAAGAGATCCTTACATATATCATTTACAGTGGTTTTTCATACATTAGAGATGAATCATTTAAAACATTTGCTTTTCTTTAGCTGTTCTTACACATATCTTAATGAGGGTTTGATAGATTGTACCCCTATTCGTAATCTTTGGAGTCACCGAACCACAGGTTGGCCCACCCTGATCTATAATGGCTGTGAAGGCACTATTGCATACTTATGCCAATATCACTGGGATTGTAACACAAACAAAACAGGCCGGGGGGAAATCAGCCAGCCAATAAACCCCAGCATGTCAACAAATGATTTGTTATTGAGCAACTTTTAAAGGTTCAGCATTACCCAAACAGTTGCTCAATATTTTAGAAAATGTCAAGTCAGTATTATGCAAGCATACAAAAACAAAACAAAGCAATGATGGCATCTTTACATGAGCAGACTCAACACACGTTTCTACTGATCAAAGTGAAATCAATCTGGTATAAGGGGTTGGCCAAGGGAACAACATTTGTCCTGAAGCTGTAACCAGGTGAGACTAGGGATGTCACGTTACCAGAAATGTAATCGCCAACCAGTGAAACCCCACGTTAGCGATTAGATACCACAATAAATAAAAAAATAATAAAACAGAATATTATGTACGTCAACATTCATTAAATGGACTTCAACCTACACTACTTTACCACATTTGTGTAATTTGTTTCATGTTAAGAGGCTAAACAGGTCATATACCCCTACATCTAATAACATCTATTTGCTATTGCTGGGGAAATATCTTTATTAAAGTTTCCCTGAAAAATTTGAGGTTTTACATTTGAACACATCGTGATAACGTTAAACTTATAATTGACTGAATGCAGCACAGTGCAATGTTCCCTGCATTTTAAACAAATGTCTATATCATTTAGGATGACAGGTTGGACGTTGGGTTGAGCCCTAACTACTGGACAAAAACAAGTAAAAGTAACGTTTATCTGAATGTATGGCAACAACTCGGTGCCGTATGATTGGTTCTCGTGACATCCCCTAGGTAGCACAAATTCATATTTAAATGGATGTTATGCCAGTGAGCGAAATAAGACCAATAAAACTAAACGCTCCTAAACCGTTATTTGACGATTTTTGGTGTTTATACTGAACTATATAATTATAAATTAAGTATCAAAGACGCCATTTGATAACATTGCTGGTACAATGTAAACTGCCAGGACAACAGTTTGTGCTCTAAAAGCTGTGTGGTAATAGTAGAAATTAAAAATAATCTGCCCACACACTGTCACTCATATTTCATTCATCAAACAAAATCAGGTCAACTGTCAGTGTAGTACTAGCCGAGCAGTAAGATTAACACGTACGCATGGAGAAAGTGAACAATAGTTAATAAGATACATGTCATGTTTATGAGAATAGCTTACACGGTTCACTTCCCCGTGCTGTGTTACTAATTCATATTCTCTTGGTCCATTTTTAGTCACCTGACCCCCAAGCAAAGTTCACAAAAACACACTGAATCACGCTGGGAAACACAGACGGAAATATGGATCTCTTCTGACACTACAGTGACTTCACTTCCTGTAATCAAATATGGTTGCACAAACGGCTCTGGGGAAACATGGCTGGGGAAAACAATTCTCTGGGTACAGTGACATAAAACAAACTCCCTGAGAAGCTGATTTAATCCTAGGATCTACTCAAATCAGTGTGTAACAATATATTCTACAGTTTGACTGCACTTGACAGAATAGGTGTCAGATCCATTCCCGGGGAAGTCACATGCACGAGCATCAACCCTGCTTTCCTTCAGGCCTTTAATCCTGGTTTCAGTGAAGATTCAGTGACGAAATGTGCTGTAACACTCTTTGAAACCTTCCACTGGAAACCACCGCAGATTTAAAAATGCATTGAACTCGCATGTGAGGAATTATTGCATAATTTAATCAATCTTTATATTTTTCTAGCATAGTTTATGTGCCGATATATTGTGCTGCACCATTTCTTAAACATCTCCATAAAAGCCTCATAATGGAGCATCAAAAGAAAACTTTTTGTTTTTCTTTCTTCAGTGGATGTGCACTCTTGTTCAACACTAAGGCGGACAGCAGGAAGGATAAGTGAGAGGAACAGCAAGCAGGCCTGCAGCCAGGTGAACGACCTATTAAAGCTCTTAAAATCTCCTGTTACCTGGCAGCGCCTGTGTGTGTGAATGAGTATTATAGTGCACGTTAAAAGCCGATATGTCACTATCCAAACCCTTATGACAGACAGACCTCCTCTGAACAGAATCACTGCACAAACCAGAAAGCAAACCAACCTCTATGCATCAATTCTTAAAAACTGATTGTCTAAAAATAATCATCCAAATGTATCCTAACACACACTTCAATGCACATGATGATATCTCTTCTTTAAATCTAACAACCGGCGTGCTTCTCAGCAAACCACCACCCACTACAAAGTCAAATCTAACATATTCTATTCCTCTATGGATACCATTTGCAATAGTGTGTTCCATCATTTTAATTCTAGGCATCTGTAGCTATCTAATGCATATCCTATACTCCTCCTATATTTCTGTATGCAGACTCCACCACACACCGACAGCAGCAGCACCGCCCAACACCTCCGCAACAAGCAGCCCCTAAATAATAATAACAAAGAAAGCTAACAAAGAGACGGTGTCGACCTTCTGTCCCGCCACATTCAGCCTTTTTGTTTTGGCACGATTGCCGCACAGCAGCTTGTTTCTTTTCTGATGATGCAGGTACGGGCAGACGGCATGTGTGAGCCACTGTCCAACGGAAGGGGAAAGGGAGGAAGAAAGCATAAAGGAGGAGATGATTTAGAACCACAACATGAAACAACCGAGGCTTAGCGAAATGTAACTTTCTAATGTGTCATTTAGGGGTTAATAGGCTAAATATTCCCTGCAAACATGACCACGTTTTGTTAAATGATGGTGGGTACAGCTTTCAGAACTAGGAGTCAATCTCAGCCAAAGAATGGATGAGTACCAAATTCTTTCATTTGAATGTGAATAATGTGTCGATGTCAAAGACCCCGAATCGCACTAGGAATTGTCAACATCTAATTCAAATGTCCAGCTTTTTTGAGAACACATTTTTCCATCATGGCTTGGGTCCAAAAAGTTTCCATCTTTAGTCAACTGAAGAAGAAGAAGATATTAGCTCCTCCCATTTCTCTGCTATTTATCTATGAGCTCCTCCCATCATTTTCCATCAGTGTCCATACTTTAATTCCAACTCTGAAACATTTAAACCTTTGAAATATCCATACTGTAGATTGTCTTCATATCAGGCTGACCAACGGGCTTGCTTTTTGAGCACCGTCTCACAAGTGCGGGTGTAAACACAAACTGAATCACGTTTGTTTTGATTTGTTCTCCTGCAGGATGGATGCTGTTAAGTGTGTGACTGAAGTGAAACGCTTGCACATGTGACAGCTTGGAGATTCAGTGGGGGATGGAGGGGGATTCAAACACGTCCATCATGTGAAGAGCATACCGCAAGACAGTGTTTGCTCCATGAGTCAGCTTAACTTGCCTTTTTTTAATATAAATATCCTGCATCCTTTTGCAGCAGTGTTCCAGTGAGAGACAAATGTTTCCAAGTGACAGAGTGTGATAATCCGGGCCTCACTTTACCTCCTTCCACCTTACAAGGTCACATTGCCATTGTGTTTTCTCTGATGTTCCTTCCAAGACTTTTGCGATGACTCAGGGTGGCTTGTTCATCCCTGAGGAGATGTGGGCGTCGTCTTTCAAGCGTGTGTGTGGTCTAGATGAAGTGCAGGTTTCAGTTAGATCCACCGCCCCGAGCCCTGCGAGCGCTGCTTCTTCCTCTTCTTACACACATAGTAGACCGGGAAGACTACCAAACCTGCATGAGGAAGAGAGGAGCAGTTTGAATTAGAGCAAACTACCCATCTAATTGTACTTATCTTAATTAACACTCCATTTATGTGCAATATAAGTCTTGAATCCTCTGTTAATGTTGAGCTCTCATGAGTATTTTATTTGATTATTCCGTTTTACAGCACACAGCCTATAGATTTTGCCATTATGTGAAATTAATTAAGCTGAAAATGAGAGATTGTAATAACGATGATAATACATGTGAATCTGCCAACACGGCGTGTTACCCCGCAGAGGATCATCTGTCAGACGCACAGACACGGAAAATAGATTAACACTAATTACAGTTCAGCTCTAGCATCAATAGTTCACGATACTACAGAGGGCTGGCAGAGTGTTTTCAGGAAGTAAAAGCACAGAGAGATCATCTGGATCAACAGCGTTGGCTTTTTAGAACAAATAGTGGTTACTTCTCTTACGGGACGACATCAAACTGAGAATTGCATGCATATTATAATCAAATTGCTCCTGCCTTATTGCAGAAACTGACCTTGTGATTTTATTTTTATGCTATATGAATTAAGGAAGACCAAATATAATTGTTCTGGTCAACTACGTACTTTCTTGAGCAGAATATTTTCATACTGATATTGTATCTCGTATTTCTCGCTCATTTTTTAAGTTGTGTGCATGCCACTAGCGGGTCCTGCTTCAGTTGTTTTACTTTATAAATCAATTCATTGTAACTAGCGGTTCCCTTTTTCATGCAGAAACTACATGTTGATCATCTAGCAACAAACTGTATATCCATAACCCTTTAATGGGTTAAAATTATGTTTTTTACAATCGGGAAAAAGTCCTATTCCTCTAGATCAGTGCTTCTCAAAGTGTGGTCCGCGGACCACTGGTGGTCCGTGAGCGCCCCCCTAGTGGTCCGTGAGTATATTGGTAAAATTTCACATTTGAAATAAAATAAATTGATTTAAGTTTTTTCGCATTCTCGCGGGAATATCTCCGCAATGGAACGAGCTTAAGTTTCACCTTCATCACACATGTTGCCACTTGTTTGTACAATTTTCAGGCGATTTGTAAAAAACGATGTGTTTTTGGATATTTGTGGAGTTAGGTGGTCCGCGAGTATTTTTTATTGGTTAAGTGGTCCTTGGTATGAAAAAGTTTGAGAAACACTGCTCTAGATTAGTCATGGAAAAAATGAGAACTGTACGCCTTTCTAATTTTGTATCAAGGCAAAAATAGTTGTGGCATGACTTGTTTGAGTTATGAAGACAGTATCTGTAATACAGTCAAACCATTTAGCTGCTATCCGTTAGCTCTTCTCTCTGGAGCTTTCCCCACTGATTTATGTGCATGTGTGTAATTGTGTTACCTATCACCAGTGCGGAAAAGCTCCGAGCACCCACGACCAGCAGAGTGACCACAGGAGCTATCAGCACCTTAGTGCCTGCAGAGAACAACAGAGAGAGAAAACCATTAATCCATAATGAATAAATGCTCCTTTCAGATAGAATACAACTTCAAAAATGCATGTTGTTTAGTTTTGTTTAAATGTTAATGAATGTTGCAAAAAATGTAAGATGCCTTCAGTGCCTGAATTTGGCTGAGCAGACTTTAGGGGGAAATTCTGTTCAAAACTAAGATGTCCCTTATTATATGCAAGAATCTGTGCCGCTAACAGTCCACGTCATGAAGGCAGCGATGAGAGCAGTAATTGCTAAGTGCTTCTGTTAAATGACAAATTAGCTCCCAGTTCAACAAAGCTGATAGAACTAGCTGTAGCAGTTCATGGAGAGCAGAGCCAAACACATCTCTCAGCTTCCTGAAGGCTTGCCGATGCAGAAATGTGATAACTATGCACGGATGATTAGAACCAACATAATGCTTTTCACACTTCATTACAAAGCTTTCCTCAATGGCCGCTACAAGTGTGTAAGTTTACTGGAAGTGTTGCTATCAATTCATTTCAAGTCACAGATAAGTTGGGCTGGCAGCAACAATCACAATTTGGACTATATCCAGTGCATGATAGGTTAAATGACACTCCTACGTTTTGTATCTTACCCTCAATTATAATCCACTGCTGAGTGAAACATGGCAGAATATGTTTTGGCAACGATACAAGTTTTTTTTACAAGGAATGTTGGTACACCAGGAAGTCAAGTCAGTTCATTGCCAAATTACTCATTCAATCTATTCAATTACATATTGGAAAAAATCTGAACAAAAGGCAGAGTAGCTGTCAAACTGAAAGTGTGACTATGCACCTTCATCACAGTGTGCTAAGAATAAAACAAGTCTACGGACATGCCAGTATATCTTTATGGCTGTACGAAAGGTGTTTAAGCTAAATGCTAATATTTGTAGCTATCTTGCTTAAGTGTAAATGTTGCTAATAAGCAATACTACAAGTACAGCTGATTGGAATGGCAATAGTCTAAGAAGAATTTGGTCAAAATGGGAGCTAGTACTGGACAAAAAGTTGACTTACTCTTTAAACTGGCAAAGGTTGAATCATTAATAGTAGGAGGGGTTTTTATCCTACTGGGGACCATGAATGCAAGACGTCACAGGACACCCTTCAAGTTTTTGAGATTCAAGCTTCATCATTATCCTTAGAGCCACGCCGTTAAACAGCACCAAAACCAATCTTCAACTAACAGAGGTTAATGAGTTTCAGTATAAAGAACGTACAGATTCACAACACTTACCACAGACCGACCCTCTAATTAGCCGCCTCAGATGAGGTCTGTCAGGTAGATAGCGATACTTGCATCCAAACACGCTGAGGTTGGATGTATGGTCCCCAAAAACCTAAAGACAGGAAGATTCATGAGCATTATTGGAAATAAAGAGGTGGAAAAGGACACTCAAAGTAAAAAGATTCTGATACCTTAGGTGCCGGTAGCGGCTCCCCACAGCGGTAGCAGAAGTTAGTGTTACACTGCGTACACGTCATGTGATCACACCCCTCTGTGCGCTGAATGTGGATCTATAGAAGTAGACGAAGCAAGAAATAAGGGTGTTAATTAAACCTTATATTAACAAATAGTTATTTTACTCTTTCGAGCTGGGACACAATTTGAATATGTAATTATGCTTTCCTTCTAGACTCAAGATCAGCTCAAGTTCATTGTTAATGGATTCACTTTTCCAACCACTCAAACTATAAGCATTCTGCTTCAGCATGTATTGAACTGCACTGCAATATGTATGCAGCAGTAATGGATCTGTGCTAATTGGCTGCCTTTACTCAGCTTCTTTTCCAGCAGAGCACAGCATGAGAGCAAATTGCCGGCGTCACCGTCACACAGGACCTTTCAGAGACATCAGTGTGATGAACACACATGGAGTGTTGCTGCTGTGAGCATAGAACAGTTCCCACAAACCGGCAATTAGCTAAGTCTACATCTGCTGTAGTCATCTTCTGACAGTCAAATTAGATATTGGGTAGACTTGTTTTATGACTGTGAAAGAGATGCCAGTGAGTCTTCCAGATTGTGCAGCAGTGGCATCATTATTTCCCCAATATGTTTTACTGCCTGCTTGCTACTGTTCCACATGCACTTTAAATCTGAGCACCCATCTCTATAGCTCCCCCCATCTATCATCCACTATGTGCTCTTGTGCTTCTCCTCATTGATTTTTTTCTTCTGCATTGTTTCCATCGTCCATCAGTCAACCTTCAGCCATCTCACATGGTGGCCAGGTTCAGCATTGTGCGTTGTTCCACGGTTATCAGAATAACTTGTGTCCTTACCTTGCAATGCGGACATTTCTGGGCGTTTCTCTGTCCGTGCTCTATGACACTCGCCCAGTTTCGAAGCAGCTTGGTCTCCTTTCCTGTACTCGCGACATTTGACCCCGTTGTGGCCATGGCGCGTGGCCACTTAAAAGCACCACCACGAACTGGCAATTGCTACACAGGATCTATAGAAGGAACAGAATAAAGTGCATCAAGGCTTGTGTTACTTTTTAAACATCAAAGTTAGATATAGGTTTGCGCAATTAATTTGATTAAAAACATAATCACTGTTTACCAATTGAATGAACATGATCGTAAGGGGGATAATGTGCAGAGGCTGGAACGGTGGCAACAACAACGTAACTAAGAATGACGGCAGCACTAATCGAGGATTTTTGGAACTGTCCAAGTCTGGTTCACAGTCCTCCTCTCCCCCAACAAGTCCTTAAACAATACCAGAGAAGCCCATGTCTGCCTTCTTGTGGTGATTTCACTGACATCCAATGATCTAACCTCTTCTCTTCTCTAACTTGATCCTCCTTAGCAACGGTGAAGTTATGCTTAGCAGCGGTGTGTTATCAAGTACTAATAACCTCTGCAAAGTCAGAATTTGCCAATCAGAGTCAAGTATTCCAACTTAGTCCGTGTAATAATGGTGTTTTTAAAATGTGTTCAATGCTCATAGAAACGCAGCTCCCATATCAAAAACACTTAAGATGTTTAGACTATATTTGATTTTGGAGAGCGTCATGCTGCATGCTGACTAATCCTGATTAATGATCATGATCTCAATAAACCAAGTAATCCTAAATATCGTTTTGGGCCATTATCTTTTCAGCCCTAATCAGCCGTTTTCTCATGCTTATTCCTTGTGTTGTGTTGGAGTTTGTCGGAACTGTCATCTCACCTTGTACTTGTGCTCGGAGTGGCTGTGGTTCTGGTTCTTTAGCGAGGTGAACTCACTGCACTGGGGCAGGGTTTGGTGCTCGAGTCCAGCTGACTCAGCTCCAGGAAGTAACGGTATTTGCCACGTCTTCATTGGCTAAATGGGAAATCACCACTTCCTCGTCCAGGTAGCCGCTGCACTCTGGGATCGGACAGCTGATGTAAGATTTGGCAACTCGCACCTGGGAAACATCACAAAGTAAAAAACAAATTCATATTGATCCAGCATGTTTACTATAATACCAACAAGGCAAACAACATAAGTGTGTGTGACAGTAACACTACAATGTTAAGCATATCTTTCAACATCACCTGCTCAACTATTTGAATCTGTCCTTTGTTTTCGTGGTGGTTTCTCACTTTCAAATCCGGAATATTTCCATACTGCTGATATGGGAATGGTTAATAATTGACCCAAGCAAAGAGGGAGTAAGAGGTAGATGAGTGAAGGGCTGAACGAGGCGGTGGTGAGAGTGGAAGGTAATATGTATCAAACACACACACATTGAGCTAACATCACACAGCCACAGTGAACATAACATATTTCAATTTGGAAATAATTACTATTAAAATATATTCATAAAACACAAGAAAATTCGATATTGTTCAAGATGCACTATTCCATAATCCCTTACCCAATTATTTTATGAAACAGCCTCCTAGAACGTTGCTGACATAAAGTTCACACCTGGGTTAAATTAAAACCAAAACAGGACCCGTGTTGTGTGTTGCAGATTTAATTCTTATCTGACTTTACATACAGTCAATATCCAACTTCCTTTTCGCCATCAAGTTCTCTTTTTTATTTGCATTTCCTCCCAGGCCATCGCTGCTTCTCTGGGTCTCTTTAACTCTCTTCCTGCTTATTGTTCACATTGAATCCATTACAGCCTGTGAGACCAGTTGTACTGACACATGATAAGGCATTTTCTCTGTGTGTGTCTGTGGAGGCTTGTGTGAAAATGTCAGCATAGAGAAAGCAAAGAACAATAGCATACCGTTACACCCAACAACCCTACAGCACGTACACACAGACTCAAAGCTTGTCATATAGTTATGAAAATGCATCCTCTGAGAGAGAGAGAGAGCTGATGTGTTGTTGTCCCAAAAAGTGACGCTGTGATGATGACCACTGCCAGACTGGTTGGACAGTTAGGACTGCTGCCAGATGCATGTGTCAGAGTGTGGTGTTAAAATGTGGGGCGAAACATGAGCCAACATAAAGCCGTAATGTGATAAAAGCAGTAAAACAATTAAGCTTACAATGTTTGTCCCAGGACAGTATGACTATAGGCTCGGTTAAAGCTAAAGATAGTGCTATGTAGTGTCAATGTGCTGTGACAGTATAGCGTCTATATGCCTGTATGGTTTGTGCACATGATGGTGCCGTTTGAATTATTACAGCAGTGATCAAATTGTAGTATTTGCGTTCTGAGGTGTACTTAAATCAGTAAAAGATTAGGGCAGCAACATGTTGCATTTAAGATGAACATGTAGAATTATGAATCTTCTTTTTAGTGACCTGTATAGATTATTTGATATGCATCATAAAAGATGAACCTTTAAATCAAAACCAGAGTGAATTATTTAAAGGACATGTCCCATGTTGAATGTATTAAAGAAGATGAATAATATTATACAAACATTCAGTTTTAAATTTGCACTTGGAACATGCCAGTAAAGAGGAAAAGGGGCTCATCTGATAAGGCAATTGTAGAGATTCAATCTAAACACCTTAAGGCATATTCAACTGTAGATTGTAAGGAACTATATATAGCTTTTAAAATAAGCACAACACAGTTGCTTTCATTTGAGGAGGCAGGTAAGTGCCCAGGAGCAAGGCACTGACCTACTCTCAGGGTCCTATCGACATTTGACCGCGACATAATGCTCACTGTAGCGATTGAGAGTAAACAGCAAGCATGAGTGCTGACAAACTTTGGCAGTGCATCGATGGACAAATAAATTCCGCCTACACAGGAGAGTTTTACAGAGCCCTTATCTCATTCTCAGGGTGCTTATCGGAGATCCTGCTTGTCTCTTTGTTTGTGTGAGTAATGTTCATGCCTTGCTTTCAAAGCAAGATAATTGCTGTCGCGATGACTGATAAAATGTTTTATCCAAACAGATTAAAGAAGATTATAGGAACAGTAGCAAAGGACCGAAGATCGTAACTTCTGCACAACTCGCAAAATGAGTACCAGCTCACGATCAAGGCACTTAGATACAAATCTGTCCTGAAACACTTAAGCTCTGTTAAGGAGCAGCGATTGGCAATATGCCTTACATTGCTAAGTCTCTACTGCCATGGCAGCTTCAGTAGGAAGTTCATCTTTCATCCATCTATTATTGAATTCCTTGATTTGATTTCCTTGAGTGCATGTAGCGAGCAGAATCAATGCACAGGAGCTCCTAAACATATTGTGTGGCTGCAGAATGCATTGTTGTGTCCCCATTGTGACCTTTATTGGCTGTATTAAAGAATTACTTTGCCATGGTGCTGCTGCTCCCCTACCTAAAACCCACCTTGCTGCTCAATGCTCAGGCAAATGTCATGGCATCAAGCAAACTGCATTTTGGGAAGTGAAGGAAACAATGGAGAACAAGATGAAGAACATGTGTGTGTGTGTTGTTGGATTATAACTGGACCAATAATACACAACAGAAACACAAGAAAGGTATCTGATGGTGAGATCTTCCTTCAATAGGTGAGCCTGAGACATGGAAATAATCCTATTTTAGTGCAGAATGTGTCATTGTGGTGACCCATATTCAAAAAATAACAGTTGTCATCAACACATTGAGGATACGTGCAGATGCTGCACTGTGACATTTTAGAAACTATTACATTAAATGTTGTCCGTCCATTTATTAGAGAGCCCATATAATCAAAACATGTAGGGTGAGAGTGTTCGAGGCCAGCTCCAGGCCAAATATCACACGTAAAGAGTGTGACAGTGAAGATTGTGTGTGTTAGTTGTGGATGCTTCACCAGCTGCTGGCTGACCCAGCACTGCCTGGTTTCTGGGACAGGCTCAACCTCAGCACTGTGACACCCTGCAGCACTAAACAATCCCCTTTCCCCTCACACTCCCTCCCTTATACCAACCTGGGAGCTGACGTAGAGTTTCAGACACGCATCGCACACAGCCTTCCTGCAGCAGGGCAGGGGTGCGATGGTTTCATCTTCCAGGCACACCCGGCAACTCTGCATTGCAGTCTCTGCACCCGTCCTGCTCCACGGACAGCCGGTGAGACATGTCCCCGAAAGGGTCCACCAGGTCCTCCAATGTGTACAAAGGCCGGTTCGGGAGTCGAACCCGCGTCCTGTTCTGCCTCAAAGTCCATTTCTGTTGCGTCAGAGGTGACATCGTCTGTGATTTCAGCGTCTTTTCGTTGACTGTCGTTAGCGATACAGTACACAGTGCAGTAGATGTGTTTCTTTAGGGGTAAAAAGGCTCGTCTAAAGTGACCGTGTTGCTGTCACTGGTCATATGCATAATGACGCTCACCTGTAACGCTCACAAATTTCAAACTCCGTGAACAGCAGAAGTGGTAACCTCGCGCAGGGTGGGCTCGTTTTAGTCCCCGCTTCGCCCGTTTCACGCTCCGACTTTTTACATTCGCCTCGTTCCGTTCCATAACCGTTTGAAACGTCGTTATTAACGATCCCCTCGGTGTGTTCATGCTCTGCGCCGCGCGGCATCCGACTGCTTGTGTTCAGACACAGAGAGGAAGACTTTGACACCCCGAAATTCCTCCTCAAAATCTCGACAGCGCTCGCTCTCCTCCTCTCTCCTCCGCCACCGTTGCAGTTGTTGTTGTTGTTGCCGCCCCTCGCATCCCTCTCCCCCCCGCTGCTCCTCTCCCCGGGGTCCCGCTCACCTCCGTCCAAAGATAATCGCGAGGTGGACCTGGTGACACGGCGGCTCAAATCTCTGACTGACCACTCAACTTTGCTGTCCCGTAAAGGAAGTTTCAGTCGGCAGGTAGCGGCGGGACAACTTCACACTCCCCTCCTCCAAACTGCTGATAAAACTCGGCATTGTACAGGCGTCGGTTATCGGTCCTTCATCTTCCATCCCCGATATGGCTCTCCCCATTTATCAGCGCGTCTCTCCTGGCCTGTCCACCTCTTACCCAACTCCTACTAACAAAACAAAACAAAGCAGGCTGCTCGCTGCTTCCGGGTCTCGGCGTCAGCGTGCAGGAGAGCAGCGATAGGCCGATGGAAGCCTAGCGGTGGGGTAACACAAATATCAGAGAAATTAAAAGAACAACTGGGCCAAAGTGAAACATTACATCAGTGCCTAGCAATAGAGCCCCCCACAGGCTCCAGCTATACCGGGGAGAGTTTAACCAAAGACATCTTTATCAATATCGACACAAAATATTGAAGTGGATCAACTTTTCTCACCGTATCTTAAAGTTCTTGACCTCTCAAGAGCCTCTGTCAAACATCAAATGTCAAGACCTGAACTTTCTTTGTTTTGTTCACAATCTTGCATGACTTTGAATATCATCTTCTCAACCAATATTTGTATTTAAACAATTTGTGCATTAAACGAAAAATAATCTAAAATTATAATTTAATTCAGCATCAACATTAGCACTGTTCACTCATCTGCCTAAATGTGGTAGTATAGGCATACATTTTTTAAATATACTTATTTTTCATGATTTCTATTTTTGCCATATTTATTGATGCTTCATATAACATGAGCAAGTGTAATATAATGTAGTTTCCCTAATAAGGCGATAATTGTGTTAGGAAATCTGATATTGTGACAGCCCTGAATCTGCCAAATGTAATATCCGTCATCTTAAAGGTTCCCTAATATGCAAAATCCACTTTTTCCATGTATTTTATAAACATGTGTCCCCTCTGTGTAAAGAGATTCTGAAAGTTTCAGGAAAAAAGATTTGCTCACTTTTTGTCCTGCTCCATTTTTATAAAAACCTGTCTGAAAATAAGCTGACTATGGCCACTTTATGTCATAACGATGTTTTGTCTTGTGTAACCATTAGCCAATCACCAACCAAGGTAACCCCCCCCCCCTTATCACTTGAATCTCCGACCTAGAGTACCATTGTGTTCTTTTTAACCAAATCATCTCTCAGAGGGGCGTGGGGAGTGGCTCCTTATTTTCATCTAAAGTAACAGACACAGAATCAGCACTTTTGAAGAAGGGCTGAAACAGAGGGGATTATGGGATGCTATATTGATCTGTTTGGTGTTTAGAGCCAAACACTTCAGAGACATGTTTTGTATATATCTGAGACCTATAGTAAAGTAATGAAAAATAGTATAATTTATCCCTTTATCTACTGGAAAAATGTTTCCCAAACATTTATGATATACTTTATATCAAAGCATATACAGGATATGCTGATTATAGTTATCTAGCAGACTACATATAGTGTTCAAAAGGTTGCTCTCTTCTTACTTTTCATTGCATCACACACACACACTTTTCATCTTTATTAAATCCCCAAAAATTTAATTAGTTTCATTCCGACAGAGTGACACTTGAACACATACAAATGAAAGTCATTTGGACCGAGAAATGTTTTCGTTCAACGCTGTTGGCACAACTTTCGAATACACTCAAGTGGGGCGCCTGTAAAATGGGATGTTAGCTCCGTTACAAATCCTCATCAATGCCATAGGGCACAAGACGCATGGTAATGCTTTTACTTGTCCTGGCTGTGCCCAGTTGCTTTTAGTGGAACATGCAAATTATTTAAAAAAGCCTATACAAGTGCAAGTCATCCACTTATTACATATAAAGCCTGAAAAACCCTTCAGACATTTTTTCTGGATTGTACTGTTCCACTTTTAACAGGTTACAAAATGGGGATGCTCTGCAGGATACAAATACATATTTAAAGTATTTCAAATTTTGATCATTTACTCCATCTTAAACTTAGCCTATTGCAACTATCATAAAAAAAGGTTTTTCTTTCACACCGGGCTTTTTTCTCTCTTAATAAGGTAGATATTTATTTTTTTACTGTAAAACAATTTTTCTGTAGGATTTTTAATACAGAATTTACCTTTGAGCACTAAATGAGCATGTAAGAATACCACCCACTCAATTCCCCTTAATGTTTACCATATGTTTCCTCTGCCAAGGAACAATAGTGCTTCCCGGCAATGACTTGGCAAGGATTTGTGTGTGTGTGTTTAGTTAAGGAGATACTGATATGTGATGTCACCCTCAGCTGTTTTTTTAGATTCCACAGCTTTCGCTTCTTTTCAGTCACTTTGTAAGTTGATTTAATTGTCTTTCTTTTAACTGAAATTCTACAAAACATTTAGCTAGAAAGCAGAAACTCAACCCCCAGGACTTTGAAGACTTTGTTATTCACATGCACAATGTAGCAAATGTAAAGGATTTGAGGACACAAAATAAATGAGGACACAATGTAAACTTTCCTTCTCCACTGTCTACTTTATTCCCAACTGTCTAGTTTATGTACAGTCAGTCACCTGTGGGAAAACCATCATAAAAAGAGAAGACACCCACATAGATGTTCTAGTCAATGGTGAACATTACCAAGTCAACCCAGAGCACATAGTTTGGATAATGCCACTTTACTGGCATGTTCCTGCATTGATGACACACTGACATTGTGAATAGTTGTCGAAGGTATTATGAATATGTGTTATTGCACTTTCTAAATACTCCTATAACATGCTTGTTTCTGGTGCGTTAAAAAATAAAATATAGGGCAATACATTTTCAGAGTATTAAACAATTTGTAGGACAAATGTTTACTCTTTAAGATGAGAAGTTGTCTAATAACTGTATTTAGAAGCTAAATTAAGCTGGGAAGTACCTCAAGGTTCTGTAATGGGTCCTATGCAGTTTTCTTTTGCATGACATTCCAATTATAATTTTGTGTCCCTTTAACAGCTGCATTTTCTTATCAAACAAAGTATGCAAGCACCAAACGTAATATTTTAAGACCCAGAACACCTATTTTCTTAATTATATTGTGAATTAAGCTACATTTGAATCCAAACATGATGATAGTTGGACACTGACAATTAAATCTGCCTGAGGAAAAACATTATCTAAGATTATAAATGGTTTTCTCTTAATAAATAAAACCTAAATATGTGTTATCAACCTTAACTTTTGATTGTTGCGAATTAAGTCATAAATATTTAAGATTTTATTAAAATATTTATCATTTGAAAGTTTGATGGGCTTTGCATTTATTAAATACGCAAATATTTATCAAATAATTTGTTATTATACATACAATTATTATTTATTTCAGTAATAATGAATAATTGCCAGAATTTGTAGGCTTAAAATAGAGTAGTTATACTTAAGGAGAGATTTTGAACTATTAGTACAGATTTAGAACTTTGCAACAACAACATTTAACAAAATAACGGCTTGCCTCGAGCTTCTTCTGCAAATGTTTAACACTTTATATACAGATGTGCAATCTTAGATCTGCAGAGAAAAAGCTCTATTGACTGTTTCAAAGTCTAAATGTAATCGTGAAGATAAATAACAAACTGTTGAGATTCTGTCTTCATTATTACTTTAAAATATATTATTACGGTTGTTATTGCTGTTTTTACGACACTTGATGAGTTCTATTTCCTTTTTTGTTTGTGACGAGGTTGCAGCTTTGCAGGTTCTGGGTTAAGCGTTGTTCAGTTCACCATGACATAAAAGTACAATGAACTGCAGTACAAGGTCTCAAACGCACACCCAAGCACACACACATACATACACATACATTTGGGTTACATTATATATCCGAAATCTTCTCTATTTCCTGCCAGATTGGCGTTAATATTGGTTCCACAATACCAGGTGAAATTGAATTAATCGTCTCCATTAAACACAAATTAACAAATAAATTCACATTCAGTTCAAATTAGCTAATTACACCAACGACTATCTTTTTCAATTATGCTTCTAATAATATTCACAGCTTTAGTTCCTGATTTGAATTTTTCAACAAGACACTTCATCTGCAGTTCTCATTTATGAAATAGAAATCATTGGTGTTGGTTGACAATTCAAATCTAAATTAAAATTGTAACGCTAATTATCCGGTGAAGTGAAAGTGAATTTCCTGCCCTGACAGAAATGTGAATAAAAGAATTACAGACTATAGTGCAACTACAGGAATTCCCTTTCCTTCCATTCTCCTCTTACTCTCTCATTTCAAAATACACTGTACAATTAGAAGAAATAAAACACAGTAATCCCACTTGTACACAACATCATACATTAGTAGTCAACTAGAAAAAACAGTAAACACGGCCACATGTGATTAAAAAACGTCTAGAAGTTCAAAGTTACATTTCGTCGTTTTACGTTGTAGCTATTTTATCTCCTTTACTCAGCAGACATTTCAGACTGTTATTTATAGAAAAATCACAAAGTTCACATTTAGGACTCTTTGAAGAGAGTTGAGGAGCATTCAACAAACCAAACAGTTCCCATCTTAAGTAGCTAGTTAGTCACACGCAGCATGAGATTAAATACGCAACAGTTTGGAAACACCTCATGCAAACACACAAAACGTTGTTTCTGTCCTCCGGAGTGACTCTCGGTGGAGCCTCATGGGGCAGCGACTCTGAACGTACCCACAGAGTTTTGTTACAAAACAAGAACGGCTGAAGATATCTGGCAGAGGGGGGTGGACTTTGTAGCTTGTAGAGGGGAATAGTCCATCGTCATGCCTGTGTTACCACACAGAAATGTTCCTTGGTTGACGGAGAAGGCCTCAAACTTTTGGTCCAGTGATTGCAACACAAATACAACATGATAAGTTACGTTTCCAGAAGGAATCAGTTGAATTTTCTGAGCAGAATAAAATAAAAAATCTGCTGGCAGCAATGAATGCAAATGTGTTTTCTTTTGCTTTTTTATATCCTTGCTGTATTCTATCTATTTTTCTTACATGGAAACCCAAGAAAACTGAACCGTAGACCCATTATTTTTGTTCCCAGTCTGTAGATTTCAGAAACTAGGCTCCACGGATGTCCATGTGGTGATGTGGTTGGCACTTTCAACATTAACATTTGAGTGGTGAGGTGAAGAGAGGGAGCTGCTGTGACTCTGGAATCTCTCTGGTACCGTCTTTGTCCTTGTTAGTCTGCAGGCGAGGGCGAACGTTTGCAGTGTCAGCGCAGATTCAGCCTCAGTCATTTAGTTTCTCCTTTTTTTTCACCAATCTCATCCTCTAGTGGTTCGAATATGCAACAAATAAATCAAAACATTAACTTACTAACTTAGATGCAATGATGGCCATTTTTCAGCTTCATGTCACATTTGTTATGGTACAAAAAAATGCCAATCAATGATCAAATTCAGGTCACTTTAACTGTGATTGTCATTTCTGTTGTGTTTGTTTTTCTCATGATGTATGCCTGTGGAAGAGTGTGAACTATTTCTGTTATTCAGATGAGCTGGATGCTTCAGATTTGGCAGATTGGACACTTGATCTGACCGACAGCTTTTAAAAAAATATTATTCAGAAATACTGCAGGGAAAAACTTGCCTGCTTTAACGACGGGCGAGTGACAAGGGAAGCTACAAAAGGACTGAAGTGGAAAGGAAACTGTTGCCTGACCTCAATCCCTCTCCTCTGGTTGTTTTCTTTGTCATGTTCTGTCTTTATATACCTCTACCGGTCTGTCTTGGATGGAAGACAAAGTATTTAGACAGCAAGAGACCGGAAGACACATGTGGAACATCTGTTCTGTCTGTTTAATGTGGCAGAAAACACCCCGTGGCCTTTGAGATGCTAGACCTTAAAAGTCTCCTGTATGTCAGTCTCTCTGTCCGGCAGACCGAATTACTATTGTAAACATTTTTAAGATTCATATTAGCAGTAAAAACGTTAACACATCTGTTTAGTTTGTGTGTGTGTGTGTGTGTGTGTGTGTGTGTGTGTGTGTGTGTGTGTGTGTGTGTGTGTGTGTGTGTGTGTGCATACATGTGTGAATTCACATATGCATCAGTTAATGCCTGTGTGTTTTTTATACACATGCACATATTGAATGAAAGTATGTAAATCTAACTGTCGCAGACAGATGAAAACGTGTGGTGTGTGCTCGAGCTTGAGTCTGGAGTTGTAACAAGCTCAAAACTTGCACCAATCAGAAACTGTAGAAAATATTTCTGACATTCCTATATCGGTCGTCTTGTTAGTAGATGCAGGGTCAGTATGGTTGGAAGTCCAGTGTCTGATGTGTCAGGCACAAAGAGCAAAACCTTCCAGAGATGGTTTAACAGGCTCTTCTGTTTACGTGAGGATGTGGCATATCTGCATTGTCTGCAGCAGCTTGAAGAAAAAGTGTGAACATCTTGGATTCCTGGTCTTTACATCCTTTTGGTTTCTTTCACAATGCAGATACTCAAAATCACAAAGGGAAGCAAGGCATTGGTTCCTGATGTTTCCTTCAAGAAGAAAATGCACCGGAGCTGCTTGTACTGGTGTTTCACACAGTTACAGTGTTCAACCACACGAGGCCAGTGTTTCATCACGAAACAGAACTAACTCCATTAAAAAACAGCAGAAAGACAGACCAGGGAAGCAATGTGACCAAGTACTGGAAGGGGGGGTTGGAGGTGAAGCAGAATATCTTAGTGTCCTCTGTATCCTGTGGTAAAAGTTGAGCAGCGGTGGTTGGTAAGGCAACGCTCCTAGGTTTACTTTGACCTGAAAAAAGAGGATAGAAGAAGGTTATACTAAATAGTGACTGAATCCCATTTATTGCTTTAGTATAGATTTAGCGGTAAATGTTAATGTGAACCACTTAAAACGAAACTGCTTGAGGTATAATTGAGTACAGTAAAGATTAAGAGGTTTGTGATTAAATGCTTAGCGGTGCATTTGCTCAGGATTGTCCTTGATAAAGTGAATTACTGGCAAATAGGCTGAACAACATAATGTTCAATGAGGACAGCTGAAGCACTTGTGCTGTGTATTTTTACAAAAGATAATACTCAAGAAGCCGCTTGAGGACATACTTTCCTCCCAACTATTAAGGACAAAAACAGGAAAAGTGAGAAGAAAAGAGCTAATTATTTAATTTGTTAGCAACAAATTCTTGACACAATATAAATGGAACAATGTTACTTTTAGCAGAATAAACATGAAAAGTTGAATTAATTGGCTGTAAAACGCACCGTTACTCAGTTCTAAAACTAGCTTACGGTGGCTAATGTTAACGATATTAATAAAAGGTTATATTGAAAAAAGACGTAATGTCCCCCTGTTACAACAGCTAAGCAACTTAGCTTAATGCTAAAGAGAGGTAGTTAGAGCAGTTTATTAGTGTAGGATTCTCCTATAACGGTTTAGAGTCCATTAGCTATGCTATGACTCTAAAATAAGTTGACTATTTACGTTTCTTTGAGGAAATGTCTCTCTTACCATGTTATTTATTTGTATATTTATTAAGTATCAACAGATATTTTTTTAGTAACTATTTATATTTAAACATTGTAGCTTTATATATTTTAACATTCTGGTAAAGTGCATATGATGACCCTGATTATTATTGCTACTATCTCTGCTTTATCACTGTTTTTGTGGATGTGTTCTTATTTATGTTATGTATTGCATTGAGAGATGCCAACTGAATTTCGTTGCACTGATGTGTGATGACAATAAAGATATATTCTATTCTATTCTATTCTATTCTATTATAGCACTGATACTAATCTGCCCTTGACTTAAGAAAGGCTTACATTAGTTTCTTCATCAACGTTTCATAATTCCTCATTTTAAGCTCAGAGAAAGACAATAGGCTACAAGTGTAACCAAGGACTGAATCGTGAGGTTGGATAAATAAAACATCAATTGTCTTAAAAGAAAGATGTGATGTTAGATGTGAGGATGTTTTTAGATGATGCTAAACTCTCATTTGAATGCACCCAGAGAAAAACATGCATTTGAAGGTCAACAATAAGTTGATCTTTTTGTATGTCTTTGCAAAGAAGTGCAGTAATTCTTGTGAAGTTATTTTGTGTGTGTGGGTAGTTGGGTGTTGGAGATTTCCACTGGGACCAGCTGATCCTTTTTTTTATTGGTCCCTGTGGCCGGGGCCAATAAACACCAAAGTGAAGGGACAACAGCTGGGGAACAATGATAGCATATTGATGATGTTTGTGCAAGTGTGTGTGTGTATACACGCGCGTGTCGATATCTGTTTGCGCATAAGGGTACGCGCACAATACGTCTATCAGCACATTTACAGATGTGTGTATTCACGCTTCAGCTATCGTGCGAAAGTGTGTGTTTGTGTTTGTAGCCATTATCTTGGGGGTCGATGATTTATGATCATTGTTATGACTTCCACAGGGGACATATAAAACTACAGAGGGGCCCTTTATTGCCTTTCTTCTTTGTTTAGTCCTACCTTTCATCCATCACTCTGTGTTTTCTCTACCTATCTACTAGTCTCTCGCCCATCTTGATGTCCGTCTGCCTCTGGCTCTAATTTGCCCCCGCTCCTTCCTCTAATAAAAACAGTTATTGATCACCTGTCTCCTGCAGGTGATCAGTCGTATTTCTGTTTGTTGTTTGTAACCGTGTACTTTTGCTTTCTTGCTTAGTGCATTCAGATTGATGTTGGGATGTCTAAGCCTGGACTCAGACTCCTTTTGTGTTATCCTATAGGCTTCCGGGGCCTAAGAAAAGCTGAAGATCTTGACAAACTGGCATTTGTTGTTTTGAGTCTGTGGAAATCACTGTATAAACTACAAAATAAAAGCTTCCAAAACAACAAATCGCACAAGGATTACATCAGGAGGATGCCCTTTTCAGTTAATTTGGGTTATACAGCTGATGATGAACAGTTTTAGCGAGAATAGTTTTTTCTCACACACCACACATTTATTTGCCACTTGTGAAGGGAGCGATAAAAGTTCTAGGAGAGACCTTGGGCTGATACATGATAAACACTTACGCTGATGCGGCAAGAATGCACTAATATCAGCCTCACTGCAGAACTCCAGATATTAAACACAGAGAAACGTCCCCTAACGATGCTTGCTGTTGATAGCGGGTTTGGATTTAAGAGGGTTTAAGGATGTGAGAAACGAAAACACAAAACATGCACGTATTATAATAATTGGGACTAATATTGTGCCTATGTGATAAAAAGATGATGATTACAGATGATTACACAGACTTCAGCTATACTCACATGTACATGGGCTGTAGCTGAAGGTGGGAGGTCTTCTGAGGGCCCTGGTAGCCGTACGAGTCGAACCCTCCTATAAAATCAACTGCACAAAACAAAAGACAAAGCCCCAATTAGAGAAATCCTTGGTGGTTATCCACTGGGAGCCTGCAACCACAGATGATTCATTGCATCGGGCATCCTACACCAACAGACGTCTCTACGGTACATTGTCTACCAGAAACACCACCTTAATCACTGCTGCTCTGACTAGATAATGGCAGATTTTGGCATTCAAATGATTCAAAACAAAATGTTGCCTCAACTGTACCACAATGTGACTCAGATGTAATTCTATTTTGAAGAGGACTTATGGAGCGGTATATTTATGCCTTGAGAATACTCTTAACTCTTAAATTATCTAGGATGGCTCGCCAGTTTCTTGGGCTGAGCGGCTGCCAGCAGGTGGTTGCTTTCCTCAGACTGAGGCAGAGTGCCTGGACTTTTGAAGAGAGGAAGCCATGATATATATTTATATATATTTGGGCTTTGATGTTGTAGAGCTCATAAAAGGGTACTTCCTTGCCTTGATCAGAAGTGCACTTTCTTATTTATTGAGTGAGGTTTCCTAGCGTCAAGTACAAGTACAATGTGGTATTTGGCTGTCACTGTAGAGATTAAAGTAGCTTTAAGTACGCCTTAAGTCGGCAAGAAGCAGGGATATAACACCAAACCTGATGTGGAAACCAAACATAGACATCCTTTTTCTCTAATTAGCTTGTTTATGCCTCTATTTAAAATACCATAAATAAAACACATGAATATGTAATGGTGCGGTTATATTTTCATTTCTTAGGCTTTCAGAACATACAGTCACTCGCCTTAAATGATAATATCATGCTTTATGTATCATACTTGTATTTTTGGTTTCAAATAGAATATGTGTAGGCCTACATGCTTTAATGTTAAAAGGAACACTTTTCTTGTTTTACTGTCTGTCTTTATATAGCTGTATTCACCCGCTTTCAATAACACACTTTTTTTTGCTCCCATCTCACTGAATGTTTTATACTTTTGTTTTTAACCAGATTTGACAAACTAAATATTAAGTAAGTAAATCAGATAAAGGCAGATTTGATCTTTAAACAGAGTCATGATTATTGTTTACCCTTGTGTGCGGCCTCTATGCTAAGCTAACCAGCGATACATTTTTGTTTTGGATTTGGAGCAGGGGTGGCATAACAGGCCGATATTTGAGGATTTGAGCGGATGAAAAAGAAAAAAAAGAAATCCGAACTAACTGGATGCAAAGTCATGAAGTGCGTTAAATGTAATCAACAGGATATTTTCGTCTGGAGGGACGCAAGAGCGGGCCATATGAGGAGACCGACGGCTAGTTCTAGTGTTCAGCCTGCTAGCTGCATTTTGAACTAACTGTAAGCAATGAAAAATGACCTAGAGAAAAGAAAAGTATATATAATAGTTTAAGAAATATACGAGAAGACAAGGTACATTTTATTTTTCGTATATTTCTTACCTAAAGAAAACAACTTAAAAAAAAGAGAAACCAAGCTTTAGTGAATCGGACCAACAAACTGATCATCTTCAATCTATCTGTTCATACATACTAATCTTCTTCTTTAATCCTGTCGAAGTTGGGTAAAAGAATGTCACCATAAACCACAACGTCTTTTCACACTTCTCACTTAATCCTCTTAATGCATTCATGTGAAATTGTGATTACACCACACGACGGGACAACGGATGATCTTCTTTGTCTATCAGCGGTTTTCTCGACTGCTGCAATAATGTGATATTTTTATGATCATTGTGCTCATTGTGCTTGTTCAGTCAGACAATGCAGAGGAGACATTGCCTCTGCCTTTCTTTTGTGAGGATCCTTTTTGTGGCAGAATGGCCCGGTGTGAACGCTAAGGGTTTCCAGCTGATTCATGCTGCAGTCGAATAATCTCGGCAGACTTTCTGCCATGCTCGACCCTTCCGACGCAAGAGGAAATGGAGCCTCTAACCTCGTCAGTGAGCTGTCTATCAAGCTGAATAGAGGCTCATTTAAACATTCTGATGTTATTCATAAGGTGCTGGGGTTGTCCAACGAGCGAATGAGAAGAGGAACAATTGCCCCAGAAACTGCAGTCTGATCTATAAAAGAACAGATGTTCTGATTTTGTATGACCACATTCTGTGTTGAATATATCTTACCTATGTTGAACCAATGTTAAGACTGATGAAATAAAATATTTAAGGCCATTTAGTAGTTAGGATTAGAGTAGTTTTTAGGGTTTTTGGTAAATGTTTGGGATGTTTTTTGGCTTGTACATTTTGTGTATAATACATGAACTCCTCCATTTCTAGATGTGTTAATAATATATCATGTAAAAGCTTGATGTTTAGTGTCTAGGCTACTATTTTCAAACTTTGTATATCTTATCAGGGTAAACCACATGTCAGATGTCTCCAATATGTCTTTTGATATGCAATTTTTGACTAGTGAATAAATAAACAATGATGAGATTATTTAAAATTATTGTGGTTTTTCCCAGTTGTCAGTTTTCACTTAAAAAGGACTCCACTCATTTAAAGGGGCGCTATGTAGTGTGTCATATAGGTTTGTGTGCATATAAATGGTCTGCAAAGAGTTAAATCCCAAAGTTCCCTCCAGAAGGAGTTTCTCTCCCACAGCCTGAAACGCCTCCATTGGACTCCTTGTTTACATAACATAGTGACATCACTATGTAACACACATGCTTCTATTGGGTAGCGCTCCAACACATTGTAGTGATACGCTAAGGGGCGGGACAACTATAAGGGGGTAGACCAATCACAACAGAGCCGGCCAGCTAACCAATCAGAGCAGACTGGGCTCTGGTTTCAGACAGAGGGTGACAAGAGGTGCTGCAGCACAGACCGTATGAGACAAATAAAGAGCTTTTTGAACATTAAAGCATGTAAACATGTCAGAGGCACAAAATACAATGATGGACCGGAAACTATATGAACCTGCATGAATGGGCCCCTTTAAAGAGTGATCAGACAAAGATTCCAGGCAGATGTTTGACATGAATCTGTCTGACACATTTATGCAGCACTGAGACGGATAAGCATCACTATGATCATGTCCCACACACTGATACAACCACAAAATCCACACACACAGACACACAGACTTTATCACACACAGACTTGTTCACACATGTACAGAATAATTATCAGTGTAATTAGCTTTCTCAGCAACTCAAAACCTTCATTGGTCCTCGGTGAGTATTAGCGTTTTCACCCAAGGCACATTTCCTACAAAGCTCCCTGATTATTGTGTGGTCTCCCACACTGCTGCATTATCGCGCAGAGCTTTTTCCCGAAGCCGTGTTAGGAACTTACGGAACAGCAAACACAGGATTACAACAAATGCAAAAATCTCACTGGAGAGAATTATCTTCTTGTCACATTGAAAATGATGCATGTGACATGACGCTGCCGTTGAGTACATATTCATCAAGGCTCAATAGCGGCCTCAAACCTTTAATTTCAATCCATCCGATCACATTTGGTCCTTGAGAAGAAGTGGGAAAATGAGAGGTGTGGCTTACAATATGTTTGCCCATTTGTGTATAAAGTAAAAAAAAAAGATCGCCCGTGTTGTGTGAATGTGTTTGTCTGCATGTGTTAGCTCTGTGATAGACTGGCGACCTCTCGAGGGTGTACACTGACTCTTACCCAGTGCTTGGCTTTAGCTCCCAAAACATGCATAGTGGTGAAATACCTCTGAATATTTTTACGGCCCTAAAAACTTAATGTGTTTCTTTAAAACTACTGTGTGGTCACAGATCGAAATCATCACAATGTTAACAAGTTAAAAGTCATGTAGGGTTGAATTGATCTCAAATGTATGGAGTATAATCAAGCTTCAGGGGTTATTCTGAGACGTTTTTTTTGTAGCACTGCATTTTAATAAGCTTTGTGATGACAGGAAACCTAAAATGCCACTTGTTCCGTGTCTGAATAATTAATGGCTCACACTAATTATTCGCCCTTTGCTTTACTGTTGTATTTTGGCTACTGTTGTATGTTGGCCCTTGGCTCTCGATTCTGCACATTTTTGCTTTATTCGCAGCCTGAGAGTGAGATATTAGTACAATATTCTTGTCTTAGTCCAGGGGTCTGCAACCTTTTTGACCAAAAGAGCCATTTTGCCCCCTTTTCCACAATTTGTTTTTGTCTGGAGCCGCAAAACATATTTGATTGATAGCTTATAAAGTTGTATATATTGTTACATCATAGACAAAAACTACAGTTGTTTTGCATTTATTACTTATTACATTATAGAAAACCGTTTACCTCTAATAATAAACAAATAACTCTTATAAGGAGAATAAAAAAAATACACAGGCCAACTTTAAAATAAATCAACACAGCACTTGGGGAGTCCTCTGCACATTTGAAGAAAATTAATATAATTAAAATGGGCCCACTATGAAATAAATAAAACCTATAGCTGCACCCTAAAAAGAGTTTACTGATTGAATTATGATTGAATTATGAGTGAAGATCGTCAGCTGTCTTCCTCTTCCGTGTTTCTCCTCGATACGTAAAGGCTGCAGCACCTTTAACAACTTCTCTCTACATATCAAACATACCGGTAAGCCAGCATCGTTTGCTGTGAAAGCAGATAACTCTAACCACGCAGAATTAAATCCTGTATTCCTCCAATACTTTTATTTTCTTTGATTTATCCATAGTTCGCTCATCGAGCCGGGGGTCAGGTTATTCACCTGCAAGAAAAGGCGACCGTAGCAGGATGTGACGCAAATTTTAGTTGACCTAATTAAAACCGTTTTGTTTTTTATTTATGTGTCACATTATCACCTCAAAATACAAGATACGAAACATTTTCAACCGTGCAACATGGTTGAAAGAGCCGCATGCGGCTCGAGAGCCGCGGGTTGCCGACCCCTGTCTTAGTCTGACAGTTTATGCTAGCTACATTTTTAATGAACAATTGAGGTATTTGTTTAAACCCTTAAAACTCACATATGCTTCATCAGGACTCTGTTTGGGAAAGTTCTGGCAACATTGGCAAAAAAAAATCACACAACTTTCATTGCTTTAGTTTCATTTAAATGTCATACTGCATGGAAATATTGCACATTGTTTTGTCCACCAAGGAGGTTATGTTTTTGATTTGTTTGTCTCTGTCAGCAGGATTACAGAAAAACGACTAACTCTATTTTCACTAAACTTGGTTTAAGGGTGAAGCATGGGCCAAGGAAGAACCCATATTCAAATTTGGAGCTGATCCAAATCACAGCCTGAATAAACACATCATTTTCACTTTAGTCGATATTGCAAGGTATTTGGCCTTGGCGGAGGTCTATCCTCTCAGAGATAGTTTTAGTTACATCATACTTTCCGAACAAGTGAGAAAAGCAAGGTTAAAATCTCTCATGTGAAACACCAAAAAAAAATTCTAACTTTAGCGGTAAATAATGTGTTTGTCGGTCGCCATCACTCACACTGAGAAGCTGATTGATAAGATGGTCTTAATATGGGCTTAAAACGGGAAACTAAGGTTATCATTTAAAGCTTCTGCCAGATATTTCAGTTGCTACAGGGAGAATTTATCAAGCCGCATTTTACATGTCAGTCACTAAGCAAATGAACTCTGGCATAGAAACACAGCGCACTCCTCTAGTCTGAAATTGTTGTTTATTTCTAACAAGCTCTCACTCTCAGGCTGCGAATAAAGCTAAAATGTGCAGTATCGAGAGCCAAGGGCCAAAATACAACAGTAAGGCCAAATAATAAGTGTGAGACATTAATTATTCAGACACGGAACAAGTGGCATTTTAGGTTTCCTGTCATCACAAAGCTTATTAAAATGCAGTGCTAACGTCTCAGAATAACCCCTGAAACTTGATTATACTCCATACATTTGAGATAAATTCAACCTTACATGACTTTTAACTTGTTAACATTGTGATGATTTAAAATGTATCTGTGACCTCACAGTAGAGAGGCCTTACCCGGCAATTGAACTGCAGTTTTATAACAAATGCAATAATAAATAAGAATGTGTCTACTCTCAGCTCTTTGAATCATTTCCATGGATTCAGTCTGCATTTATCACCTATCAATATTGATATGTTCACAAAGACCACTCTCAATTCAGTGTTGAATAAGACATGGCTGCGTATTGATCCTCCTGCAAAGCGTCTACTTTAATGGAATAACTAAACTGATGGCCTCAGGTAAATGGGCTCATTTAAATTAATGCTCAAAGGAACACGCTGCCTTCAAAATATTAAAATCGCAGAATAAACATGTTGATTTTCCTCATTTCCCCACTTGTTACTGGTATTGCACTTCATTGATACTGTCTAGTCTTTGACTGTAGACGTTTCATTCATCCCAATGGTTGTAATGATGATTAGATGCATTGATAAAACATTGAGTAAAGATAAATGAAACATTTTTGTTGGTCTTTCCCTCCCTTTTTGATTCCCTCCTGTGCCCGTAGATTGGTGATGGCGGTTCAAAGTGGTGAGCATGAAGTCGAATGAAAGACAACTTTGATCGAGCATGAATCTACCGAGCACTCCTTCACACACTCTCTCTTCTCGTCTCTTTCTCTGTGTGTCACTGTAAATGAATGAGCTGGAGGCTACAGGTTTCACTTTGAATTCCAACTTGAAGTGTCAGTAAACTCCCTCCAGTCAGAGATGGCTTCATTCAAACCTGCTGCTTCAGTGCCAAGGGAGTGAATGTACAGATTGCATTCACTTTGGCTTGATTCCACTTTCAAAAGGGCTCGGTGAGTTACGGTCTGAAGTCGCAGAGACCATTAATGCAGTGGCTAGGCATTATTCTTCATATAGCCTGTTTATTATTAATGTATTAGCCTTAGGAGAACGACACACATCAAATACAACTTAAACTACTTTATCAAATATATCTAATTGGTAAATCCAATTTTTTTGGATCGGGAAAATCGGTCGGATTAGTATCTCTTGGGTAATAATGTCTATGATGATGACTCCCAAAAGCTATCACCCCCTCCAGAAGCTGCCGATTACTATAAGGGATCGTACAATAAAGTCCAATGAGCTCAACTCAACTTCTCTACACATTTTGGATTACATTATAACAGGACATTTCCATGTATCCTTATATAGAAAACATATTTTTCTTCAACATATTGGTGGTACGGACCTTTGTAAACAAGATGGGTGTGTGTTTCAAAAAGGTCGGGTGAGTTACGGTCTGAAGTTGCAGAGACCAGTAATGCAGTGGCTAGGCATTATTCTTTATATAGCTTGTTTATTATCTGTTCATTAGCCTAATAAACAGATCATATTTTACCTGGATTTTCTCCCGTTTGACCGAGAGATTAAAACCAATTTGGATGGAAACCCTGGCAGCAGGTCCTTGCATTTTTGTCACATTTTCAAGTACACAGGGCTGTAGTAAGAGTGATACTTGACATTTAAAGAGTTTCGGGATTTGTCTTGTATTGACCTTTCCAAAATGAAAAACACAAGAGCAAAAGTTTAAGTGTTTGTCAGCACTCCAACAACCACCAGCCAACGCTCCTTAAAGCCTGTCCTCTTTAATGTCAAAAAGCAAGAAAATACTGTTTGAAAATATGAACATAAATGTAATGTATAAAGCGCAGAAGTGTTATGATAGAAGGAATATCAGTGTGATTGTGCACTATTCCTTATCATACTCACAATACAAGGACCAAGTAGCTTTACACAAAAACAATATTGTTCCTTTTTTCATGTCTATATTTTTTCATGTCTGTCTTTTTTCACGTCTATTCCACACAGCCTAATAGCACAATGTTATGTGTGAAGCCATGAAGGGCGTATTTAAGTGTTCTTTTTCAAACAAGCTGGAAACAGGCTTTTCATCCAGCTCTTTGTGCTTTTGTAAGCCTAATTAGCTGGGAAATGGGGCGCTAGCTTTTTTTCTTCCTCAATCTAAAAAAAAGGAACTACTTACATTTTTTTACAAAGAACTTGGATGTTAAAGCTGCTTCCATTATCACTTTAAACTTCATATGTGCAGAATGAAACAGTGTAGAAACAATGGCGAGACTTAGTGAAAAGGAAATAGATAGAAACAGTATCTTTTACAGTGGTATGAGTAAAGACATGCAGGGTGGGTAAATGTGTGTGTTTGTGTACTTACAGCTATCCTCTTCCTCCGAAATGAGCTTGACCACATAGCAGGCGTAGATAAACCCCATCAACTAGAGACAAAGAGAGCAGCAGAAACAGAGGGGGAATGATTTCTTTGTGAGAACAGAGAGCAGAGAAAGCATGGACATCGAACACATTGTTGGACAAAGCAGTGAAAACAGGTGTTGGTGTAAGTGGGGCAGAACAGCCTCAAAAACAGAGCACTTGAATCAATGGACACACACAAACCGGGTGACTGTCTGGTATCCTCAATGACAACCTCAAGGTTAACCTGACACTGTTTTAATACACATCTTCAAAACATACAACTTTAAAACACACATTGGTCGATTGTGGCACTGTGGGTGAACATTAGCGCGATCTTTGAAATTGAATTTCCAGACCCCCTTTATTGCTTCGGTGTTGTTTGATGTCAAGGCAGATAGTTTTGTGTTTGTTGCTCGAGTCAAAATGAAAACCTCGCCGCCGCCGCCCTCTCTGAAAGTGCTTTGTTTGGCTCACCTTGTAACTAAACACAGAGGTGGTACCTTACATCGTTTTCTCAGATGAAGAGTGAACAGTAAAGGGGCTACAGTGCTGTGTGTGTGTGTGTGTGTGTGTGTGTGTTGTGTGTGTGTGTGTGTGTGTGTGTGTGTGTGTGTGTGTGTGTGTGTGTGTGTGTGTGTGTGCTGCGGTTGTTCCCAAAAAGGATTCAAATGTCAGTGATATAGCAGTCCGCACTAGCAGGACACCTTTGCTCTATGATCTGCTCTGCCATTGGCTGTCTGTTTCCAAGGCGACGTGTAGAAAGTGCCCGATGCAGGAAGGAGCGGTCAATGTAAGGTCGGCTTTCGAGTGACCTTATTACTCCGCAACAATGGAGAAGGAATAAGAGACAGAGAGAGAAGTCAATGTGGTACGAGAGGAAGACGCAGGCCGAAAGTGAATGATGTGTAAATGTGTTTGTATGAGGCATTAAATCAACACATTACCTGGAATAAAGAGGCAATATTGTTCAAAGGAGGATTTAAGTAAAATGACATTGACCTGGTTGGTTTTCTATTGACTGCATGGACACACGCCCACACGCCCGCCCGCCCGCCCGCACACACACACACACACACACCACACACACCACACACACACACACACACACACACACACACACACACACACACACACACACACACACACACCACACACACACCACACCACACACACCACACACACACACACACACACACACACACACACACACACACACACACACACACACACACACACACACACACACACACACACACACACACAACACACACACACACACACACACACACCTACACACACCTACATTTAAGATTCAGGGTATATCTCAAGGTCTTGACCTCATTTAGTCTAAATAATGTTCAGCTCCCAAAGCACCTCTCTCCTCCCTCCTTTTCTACCCCTCTCTGCGATATCATTCCTGCTTCTGTTCCTTTCTATTTTCCTCCAATATCTCAGCTTCCTTCATTTATTTTCTTTAATTCACCTCCTTATATCTCTCCTTGTTCCCGACGAGTACATGAGTCATATAAATACAGTGTTTTTCTCAGAGGGTGATGACTGTACTTAGATAGATGTGAGCCAAATACTGCAAATAGACAATGCTGCCAGTGTCAGCATGGGGATCAGCAGTGATGAGAAAATCAATGTGGGTAACACAGCAGGCTTTTATTTATCAGATATGCTTTGAAAGATTACCACCGGTCAAAGTTTATTTCAATCTTTTACTGGCTGTAAAATCGCAATGCAATTGACAGCAAGCTAGCAGCATACCTTTATGCCACAGTAGGATTTGGAAGAACTTGTCCATGCTTTTATCTTCAGTAGACTCGACTATTGTAACAGTATCTTTACAGGTCTCACTAAAAAATCTATTAGAAAGCTGCAGCTTATTCAGAACACATCACTCCAGTTGTGAAGTCTTTACACTGGCTTCCTGTCAGTCGAATAATTGATTTAAAAATACTGCTGCTGGTTTATAAAGCATGGAATGGTTTATTCTGATCTCCTGCTAAATTATGAACCATCCAGATCTCTCAGGTCTTCTGGGACTGGTCAGCTTTCTGTCCCCAGAGTCAGAACTAAACATGGAGAAGCAGCGTTCAGTTATTATGCTCCAAATATCTGGAACAAACTCCCAGAAACCTGCAATCTTTAAAATCCAGGATGAAGACTTTTCTTTTTGCCTTAAAGGTCACCTATGCAAAATCCACTTTTCCATGTCTGTTATACATAAACATGTGTTTCAGGAAAAAAGAAAATGGGCTGATCAGATTTTGGCCACTTTGTGATGTCAATGTTTTTTTGGCTTGTGTAACCATTAGCCAAATGGTTAAGCCCCCACCCCACTTTATCACCTGAATCTCCTCCTTGAGCACCATTGTGTTTTAAATATATATAAATATCTCTCAGAGGGGCGTGGGGAGTGGCTCCTTATTTTCATCTAAAGTAAAAGACAGAGAATCAGCACTTTTGAAACAGGGCTGAAACAGAGGGGTTTATGGGATGCTACAATGCACGATCTGTTTGTTATTTGGAGCCAAACACTTCAGAGACATGTTTTGTTTAACTGAGAGCTATAATATATTGATGAAAAACAGTATAATAGGGGACCTTTAAAGCTCTTAATGTCTTTCATTTTTGCAAAGCACTTGCCTTGTGTTGAAAGGTGCTATTTAAAAAAAACTTGCCTTGCCTTTAAAACCTAAGATGACCTCGAAGTAGCCTCCCCTGTCCGCTACCACTCCAGCCAGAATTATATTAGTATTTAATTAAAGGACACAAAGTCAAAATGTTGTTTGAAAGACATTCAGGAGTTCTCGGTCACATGCAGTCAAAGCTGAGCCCGTTTTGTCTTCTGCAGGCTCATTGCCTCTGGAAATGACTTTGGGGTGCAGATATGTTGGTACTGCTGAACAGAGTGCAGAGAGCCGTGGCCGCCCTGCGGTAGAGAGAGTTTGATCAGCTGTGACGGAGTGCATTTCCCTGCGCATCAATATCCTGTTAATATTCTGGATGCTGTAGTATTCGGTTTTGGTGTTGCTACATGTAAACATAATATCCTGTTTACAATGATTTGATCTTCTCCCCATGCCCAAATAAGACATACCGATATTAGCTATTGGTTTGTGTTCCTTATCTCGTTTCTTGTAGGAGTTCTGGGACTGAGGTTTGGTGCCTGCAGTTATATTCAGACTTTTCCTGATGCATCTATCATTTTGAGTGGTGCAGGAATAAATATTTTATATCTAAAGTACATCATAAAACCCCCCACAACAGATGTTGATATGACGATTATCAGGAAAATCTAAACCACCGTCCATAACTCTTAGCCCACAGCGCTGTACTCTGATCTCAAAGGTAGCTTTATTTATTTATTTTCTCATCTACAACATTTTACTGACAGTGAGTCATGCAGTGGAGGTTACAGCTTTTAGATTATTATATTTCCACAGAGAGAAATACACAAATATGAGGAAGTGAACATTTACCCAAGAGTTATGTATGGGAAAAATTATGAGTGAAATTATTATGTTAGGCATAATATTATAAGAAACAATTACTCAATCTCAATTTCCTTAAATGTTTACATTATGATCATTTATAACGTTCTTCAACTGTTCTTCATTTGTTTAATTGAGAAATGATCACACTTTTATGATGTCAGTTACTCTTAGTTCTTGAAATTGAACTGAATCTTCCACCTCCTTTCAACACTAATTAATTATAAGTGTTGAATGAAGTAAACTTAAAGAGCCTGTGACAGCATCCCAACAACTGTTGTGCAATGAAATATTGGGCTACTAGTAATCTTGAACCGTCAGTTTAAAAAAGAAAAAGCGATACCGTTCCGTTAAATATCAATAATTTCGAACATCGCGGGGAAATTCCTTCGACTCATTTTGAAGTTTTGGGGGAAGCCGGAAGTGACGTCAATGCGGGAACGCTTCACTGTGCGGCGAGAGAGCCAAACACGGACAAAGTGTGTTGTCATGCGTAGAAATGGTGAATTACTGAGTTTAGGCACGTTAATAACGTTTTAATGAAGTTGACTACAGTATATTCATATCTGTCAGTGCTTTCATGTCAATTCGGCGAACATAAACATAAATGATCGTGGTGAAGATGATGATTACATTAGGATTAAAAATCGGTAGTGAGAGCTACTGAATTTCCTCCCGTAGGATGTGATATAAAAACAAATCGATTATTTTTGTAGTTGTAAACTCAAGTGGATGAAACTACATTTATTAGTGCTTTCATGTCAATTCGGCGAACATATGATACATTAAATGATCGGGAGAATGATGATTAAAAATCGTTTGTTGTGCCGGTCTGCATTTCCTGATGAGAAAACAAACCGATGCTTTTGTAGTTGTAGTACACCAACATGGATTAAACGTGTGGTTTTTTCACCACAATGTTGGGGAAATTAATGGATAAAATGCACGGATTATTATTATTATTATTCCCACTCCGATCGGGACACTAGGTCCACCGTTTCCCCGCAGCGAGGCTCCCCCCCGTTGACAGTTACGTGGGCTGGGTGCAGTGGCGACTGGCCATCGGGACGAATCCCGATGGGCCGGTACCGAAGTGGGCCGGTCGGGATAAATCACTAGCACATCCCCCATAGGCGGCGCGTGAGGCTCAGGTTTGGGAAGGCTAAATAACTTGTTTTACCTGACGCTGCCCGCCTCCGGCGTCTATAGAAAAAAGATCAACTCAGTGTGCGGAGTTTAAATCTCTCAAGTCATATTACAGGATAAAGGAAATACAGTTTAAACTGCCGTATGCAGAGAAGACGCCGACGTGTTGCACTTATCATTCATATTACATCATCAATCAGAACATCGATCATATAATATCATAATATATCATATATTTCCTTATCTGAGTCAGCTTCTCCAGTCGTGCAACACTTACAGTGTCACATACTGTATGCAGAAGTATTATTTTAAGCAACACATTATGTTGACTAAACACTCGAGTCAAATGTAATTAAAGTCAGATCCACTGGTGACTT